CGTAACAGTCCCGCAGCCGCTTATCTCACCAGGAAACGAGCCAATTAATGGCCGCCGTCGCGTGTCCAACAGCCTGCGCCCGTTTCAGCCCCATTTTCCTGCCGCCCGCCGGCCACATTTCCCACCGCTTGCTGCTATAGAAAGGCCAGTGCATCCCCGTCCCAGCTCATCTCCCTGCCGCCCACAGCTCCACTTCCCTCCTCATCCTCACCAAACCGCTTCGCCCAAGGCCAGACTGGCTGCCACTCACGGAGGAGGCACAGCAGCTGGACAAGGAGGATGCGCAGGAGGCTGCCCTCATTGCAGAGGAATGGGATCACCGGGAAAAGCTGCCACGGCCGGTTTCCCGCCGGTCCCTCACTGTTAGGGCAGCTTGGGATGCCCACCAGGCCACCGCCTCCGACATAGGCGTTGAGGAGGCCGCGGCAGAGAGGGAGCATGCCTTCTGGGCCAACTTCGAGGTGGCATGGGCAGCAGCACAGGAGATGGACAGAGAACGAGCACGCCATCTGGGACCATCCCCCAAAAGTCTGGACTAGTGGAGAAGGGCGGGCAATATATTTCAACACAAACATCAAGGGAACAATGAAGTCGTTACATTCAGCATACCGGTAGTTCAAACAATTCATATAGCTTTGAGATCTCAGGCTTCAACTGGATGTGAAGACTTTTTTGTGTGTCTTGAAGATTTTCCACCCCTACAAAATGGACTCTGTTAGAACAGTGCATTATTCACACAAAAAACAGAGCTGGTATTACAGTAGTATACCTTGTTCCTGCCATGTGTCATCAACTGATATTTGATGAGAACTAGATGTCACATTAGTTTCAGGCAATATTGAGTCCTTGTCTTCGCCAGCTAAAACATTTGCAGATGAATCCAAGATTCCAGCAATTTTTCGACGAGAACTACATGCCGTATTAGTTTCAGGCAATATTGAGTCCTGGTCTTCGCCAGCTAAAACATTTGCAGATGAATCCAAGATTCCAGCAATTTTTCTACGTTTGGTACTGCCTTCATCAGCCTCATCGGCAGGAACGTTCCCTTCTTCCATGTTTTGTATCTTTCTACAGCTTCTTTGTGCCTGCTCAGTTATATACTGCCAACGAGGAGACTTCTGATCTAGCAAATTTACCCAGAACTTTGGCAGATCACTATCAGGTGCAGAGATCCCCTCCCTCTCACCTACAACAAGACTATCTCTAGAATAAAAAGGTCCACTCAGATGAGCTTGTGATATGGCTGCATTGCTCATCTTAGTGCTGGGATCATCTTTAGTGGATAACTTCTTTAAGTCCAAAAGTACTTTATCCATGAACAGTTTCTCAGCATCAGAATCCTTGCGTAGACATGCATAGTTTTTTAGCCCTTCGAGTCTACTGAAGAGAAATGATGCACCCCAACTAAGCAGAGAATGGCTCAGGATAGGCCTTATATTCTGGACAGTGCTATCAAGAATATGACCATGCTTTGCAAGTATAAGAGCCTTTTCCTCCACTGTACAAGACGAATACAAACGAAAAATGGGCACGCACTCGGATTGTGACTCTATGCTGATCTTCTGGAGGACTCTCAAGTCATTTGTGGGATTCCAATCACTACAATATATGATGATGACATCAACTGATGATAGTTTAATGCTTGGGACACACGCACGACTATCAATCAAGAAAATAAACCGGCCCTTAGTCGTGTCATTGAACATACTCATTGCACCCTGTTTCTTTCGTACATTGAGATCACGCTCCACGCGCTCATATGACTCAAAACCAAATCTTTGATTGACAAAGTCATCCAAAATGTCACCCATTGGATTGCCAGCCCCACCACAAGACTGCACATAGAAGAAAGTAACATTATATCGCACTGATAAGCTTGGGAAACCTTTAAAAAAGATCATGATATTTGATTCTAACAACGATGAATCAGAAACTACCCAAACAATGAGCTTAATAAGGGATATATCATATACCCTTCAGGAATTAAAAAGTGCAGATGGTACTTAAACATTGGTACATTTTGAAAAAATGTGGCAACATCTTTTTTTAACAGACGCCACGATGCTAGAACATGTGCTTGCAAAATGTTGTTTCTAGAGTGAACCATATGTTCATTGTACCAAAAAAAGATTAAATAGAATCAAATGCATATCAGCTTTC